AGCAGAACGTTTAGTCCTAACAGAACAATTTCGGCAAATATTTAATTTTCTCTTTATGTGATTACAAATACACAAAGAACACAAAACCGATTTTTCTTTGGAAAAAAAAATTGTTTTTAAAATTCACAGCCATTACCTGAAGTAGGTTTGTATAAAAATAAAGTACACAACACATATAATAGGAACGATAGAGTGTTTCGTAATGCAGAGAGCTCAACTGCATCAAAATCGGCTCAGTTAACTCAACAAATATTGGAGTACTAAAACATAGACTAAGCAGTCACAATTTTCATTACCAATAACATTCACATTCAAACCTACACATAACAAAAAAAAAAATAGTTAAAAATCAAATTTTCAGAAGCAAAAAAACGTTTTGCAAACTATAGTTTTTACATGGACGTTGTGCAAGTTGCAAAAGGCGGCAAACAATTGCAGTTAATTTGCTAATAACCAATATAATTTTTACAAGATGCTTCATTTTACACATTGCCCATAGGAAGCATCAATATATCGCCCTGTCTACTAGCTATCGGCTTAGGTGCGGATCGACCGCGATATATCAGCAAGTCAACTATAATTTGTATTTCTTTCATAAATAAAAAATAAAAACCAAATATCTCCATCAGCCCAGTTCGCTCGCTACTGTGTTGGCTGTGCTGATATTATACAGCCTGCGTGTGCCTCCCTTCCTTTAAATCTCTCATTATAATTTATTTAAGAAATTCTCTTTAGTTTATCATTCTATTTTCGTCCGTTTGCCAAACCATCGCCTCACCCAATCACATTAACTTAAGCCTTCATTTCCATTTCGTATTACACTAGACTATTTAATTCCCACTTTGTAATATTTTCTCATCAACAATATTCTTATCTAATAAATGTATATTTCGAATATCTAATACTCTGTTGGCCACCAATAAATTGTTTTACATATGTATTAAAAATTAAATTATTTTACATATGTATTATATTACTTAATGCTTTCAGAAGAAACATATTTTTTTATTGGCAGCTCACTGATGGGCAAAATGAGCATCACTGTTGCAGGCACTGCGCATCACTGATGGCTTAGGGTTGTCAGCCTGCGTGCCAATTGGCTGTATTTAATTGGGCTCAGGTATGTTGGGATGCTCCGGATCGGCTTACTGTTCCCTGGAGTCCACTCCTCCACTCTTGTTTTAACCCAATAGTACCTCGTCATTAGTTTCCTTGGTCTGTTGTTGCCGATGGTTTGCTCATTTTTTTTTTTTTTATTTATTTTTTTTTATAGATAAATACATCTATAAAGGTAAATTTGTATATACATATATTACTTTATTAATATATTCTTACAATCTTGCAGCCTTTTTTCCTTCTCCTCTGTTTTCTTCTTATTCTTTTCTTTCTCTTTCTTTCTCTTTCCTAATTTGTCTTGTATACTTTTGACCGCCAGGTGGCGTGGAGTCTCTTCTCTCCCCTCCGAAAGATGGTGCTAATCCAAAACCTTTCGATCTACTAGCCGACTATTACAACCAAATACATGTCTAACCAAGAGATGCTCAATTTGTTTCCACGTATAAGAAATTTAGCGGTTGATTATAAAAACCATCACACAGTTCGATTCAAAACTTCGATTAAAAACTAAGAACGAGAGTGTGTAAGTTGACATCGGCTCCTACCCATCAATTAAAGACATTTCCTTATCGCCAGACTTTTCTCCTTGCAGCTTACCGTTTTCTGTTCACAGTTGTGATTGGATTGTCTGCATTGGTTGCATCCCACGAGGCCCATGCTCCATTGTCTAATGCAGCTCATTGTAGCACTATAATAAAGCCGCCCTGCGATGCCACAACAATCCTACTTATTACGACAATAAATGAAACCACACCCACTCCGACAACGTCGACCAGAGCTCCATGTGGATGACTTCCCGGTGTAAAATGCGACTGCTCTGTAATGGACGAGGCTCGATCTCTGCTCTCGATGCGCGACTGTCGGTGCCTGGTGGATGGCACGCTCTTAACATATACTGGGCACTGTCATCGCTTCTACATTTGGCGCAATAATCACGCCAGACCCCAAAACTGTCCGACGGGGCAATGGGTCGATCGCAAGGCCAACATTTGTTTGAATCGTATGTATGCATTGCTCTCAGTAGACAAGCTTAAATTTAGTGTAAATGTGTTGTGTGTTAATTATCATTCCATTTTTTTTGTCCAATTAAGCTGCATGCTGTAAAACAATGTCTTAATACAACTTGAAATAGCTTAAAATGTTTGGCTAGATAATGATAAATTGTGACTATTAATGTCGTTTTGTTAATGGAAATTCTGGTCTAAGCTGACGATTAAGCTGTCAGACGTCCAGAAGCGTCTGGCAATCCATAAGCTGGTTCCGCTTCTCAACGGACAGTTTTTTTTTGTCGTTCCGCGATAAATTGCCATCTATTTGGTGGGCGGATAACTTTGAAGCTATGTGAAGGACTTTCAATCAGTCAGCAAATGGCAAAGGCAAAACAAGGCAATAAATTTGTCAACGCTTTAGGCCAATTGCCTCAAGTGCAATTTGACTGTCTGCAACTATAACTTTGACTGCCACTGAGGCCAGAGTGTCACTGAGCAGGAGGTGAGTGCTAGATGGGCGGTGATATCTGATCACATTGCCTGGGTTCAAAAGTTGGCTATAAAGTTTTTTTTAGGCGTCAAGAGTGATTGGTTGTTGCTTGCGGCATTATTATTTTACGATATTTATTATTGTTGCAGCTATGACGCAGTGAGACTGTTACTAGTGTGATTTCTGCATTCAACGCTATCAGTTCTCTGACAACTGCGAACATTCAGTGGCTTCAGCAACTTCAAAGAGCAGCAAGCATTATCATATTTCCGCATTTCCGTATTTCCGCCAGCACTTTAACATTTTCGCGTCTGCTTGTCGATTTTGCTATACCCTGAAGCCATTTAAGATTGTTAAAAAGGGTATAAGTGTTTTGTGCAAATGTATGTTACAGCCGGAATGAAGCAGCTCCGACCACATAAGGTATATATATATGTATCTGATCAGGATCAACAGTCGAGTCGATATAACCATGTTCGTCTGTATGAACACGTGGATCTCAGAGACTTGAAATTTTTAATACAAGTTCTTTCACTCGCAGGACAAACTTATTTCTATATATTAAGAACTGTCTCCTTTTCGAAAATGTCGATACTTATCTATACTACTTTCCAATAATAATAACACAGTTTTGAAGGCATGGCCATCTAATAGATATGTATTACATACTATTGATCAATTGGAGCAATTTCATAAAGGTCGGAAAAGAAACACCCAAGTTATATTGTCCAAAAAGCATTTACATATTGATCTTATTATTATCAGCAGACGCAAGCATTTTCTGTATGACTGAATATGCGCGTGCATCTGTAAGAAAGGGATGGCATGTAAATCAACGTTTCTGTGTGTGTGTGTGTGTGTGTGTATTCTGCAGCGTTCCGTTATCTACGATAACGTGTATGTGCGTGTATGTGTGCATGCATATGCACGAGTTTGTCGGTGATTTCATAAATATATAACAGTACTTGCACACTGATTACATTTGAGTGTGCAAAACTTTTTGTAGGGAAATTTGGCAATAAAACTAGAATATATTTAACAGCTGGGTTCTGGGTATATCGTAGTCGAGCTCACTCGCGGCCACTGTTCTTACTTGTTTGGTTTTGTTACTGTTTTGGCAGCGCTGAGCTTCGCTTCGCTTGTTTACGGCATTTTAAAATTTTTTTGTGGGTCAGAAACACAAATCAAAAGCAATGCGCCTCGCGCTGAGTTCTATCATATTTCATCAGGGGCATTTGACTTTACCACTGGCGTTGCCGTTGGTTTCCTCCAGTGCCAGCTGTTGGTGGCACAGTCTGTTCCCCACTTTGCCATCACAAAAACAGCCACAACTTTTGCAGACAGTTCGGGGAGTTCTCCACTCGATTGTGGCTGGGGATGTCGTTATGAAATTCATAACAGACAGCGAAAGCTAACTTGAAGTGCAGGCCAGGCCCTGCAGAAACATACAAATACACACATATATACGCAGATACTGTATATATCATAAGTTGAAAAATTCCAAAGCAATCATCCTGTTTTAATTACCTAATTACCTATGACTTAGCGCGCCATGGCTCTATTCACTTGTGTATTCAAATGCATATGCAAACTGAAAATTCTATCAATTGTTCTTCAACGGTTACAACGGATGGTTCATGTGGTAACATATGTATAGGCGTACTTATCATATCTCCATTATCTCTTCGAATACATTTCGTATACAATCGGCACATGTATGCATTGTTATATTTGAAAAGGCTCTCTGAAATCCAAACAGCAAATTGATTGGCTCCAATTATTTTTCGTTCACATTCATTTATGTAAGGAATTATTTTGTTCGTGGGATTTTTTTTTTGTGTTGATTTTCCAATTGCAAAAAGCGTGAGCCAAAAACCAAACGAAATTTGCCGCAGCTTCAAGTTGATTGTGCTTATTATATAAAATATAATAAATATATATATATTCATGATATGTTGATAAGCTTCAGTCGACCCCTTTTGGGGTGAGATGCGGCTCGTCTTATTTTAGCCACTGAATTTAGCTAGTTTTCAATGTAATTGCGAATTCCAAATTGTATCTAAAATGTATCGGTGAAATACGGCTTTGCCTACAGCTATGCTGATATAATACATACATAACAAAATAGATACTATATATATATATATATATATATATATATATATATATATATATATATACATGTGCACCTCCCAGCTGACATTGTTTATTTTTCAGCTGGGGATTCGAGTATTTATTTGCATTCGTGGTTAAGTGTACAAAATTATTTATTTACTTTTTAATTTTTAATTGTTGTTGTCTTTAGAGTTTGTAATACTTAAACAGAGAAAGTGCTAATGTGTGTGGTGTGACACAAACACGCAATTACTATTAATTATAATTGGTCAATGAAATATGACACTTACCTTTAATCAATGCGCTTAACAAGTGGCGTTAATCATGCGCCATGTTGGCCTGAATGTTGCCGCGTGCTCTGCTTTTCAATTATTTGTATGTATTTATCTGTTCTTTTTATAATTTTTTTCAGCTTGAAATCACTCACAATCAGTTGTTGGTGTTCTGTATATGTATTTTAACAATGAACACATTAATTTCACTTATATGTACTACAATCAATAGCAACAACACGTAAAACCGCATTAATTTGTATTCAGTCTCATTTGTGCTTGCACATTTTAAATCTATTAAGCAGAAGGAAGAATCTAAGACCACATAAAGTTCGAACTGGTGAATTATTATGACACTTTGATTTTTCATTATGACACTTTGAGACCAGTCAAAATTTTGGAGTGCAAAGGCTCTTAAAGAAATTCTGTGTCTTAATCGATTTAATATATTTAACAGCTGGCTTCAGGGTATATTCCAGCTGTGCTCTTTAGACTAGAGCATTCTTACTTGTTGAATTAAAATTAATGTTCTATTAAGCTTAAGCTAATTGCACTTAATTGATTTATGGTCTATCAACTAAAATGATTACAATGAATTTATTTTTAATTATTGGAATTGAAACACTTTGTACTATTTTAATCATGTATGTGGTTTATGATTCAAATTTCCGTAACGGAAGCACATTCCGATTAGCAATGATTTAAACAATTATTTAACAAATCAATTCGTTTTGCTGGCGTGTACGCTTAATAATATATTGACAATTTTTTCTTTTGTCTGGCAAACAGCATGAGCATAGCATAGAGTATATCCATGGCCATATATATGTGTATGTGTATATAAATTATATAAGGGAAAACTAATATGCGCAAAAATGGCTGGAAAATAAAAAAGAAATGACTCCCTGTGGCTGCCATATTTTCGGCTCATTTCGCAGATTGTGCGCTGAATTTTTAATTACACTCGAAAAATTCGAAATTGCAACTAAACTTTAAATGAAGCACTCATACAAACGCACACACACACACACACACACACACACATAAACGTACACATTAATATGTTAAAGGGCCTTCACGGATGTGTTGGACAGTGGCATCGGCAGGGGCAGGGGACGGGGCTGCGTAATGGCTTCGCTGTGCACTCTAACGATCTGACAATGTTGACAACAAGAGACACAGCACAGCAGAGCAGAGCACAGCACAGGTACAGTTACATATTCCCATTATTAATTAATGTGTCGCACACTTTTTCACACTAACACAGCCACCCACCCACACACACACACACACACACACACACACACACATTTCGCATTTTCATCTTCATTTCGCACTTAACACTGGCATACAGTTACCGATAAAAGTTTGCGCCATTTGCAAGTGAAAGTTGCACGCAAGTAAAATAGTTTGTGGAGCAATTGAAAAACGTTCAGCAAACTTTTCGAGAAGTTTATTTCACTCCATTGCCAACTGAAGTTTGCAACCAGAATTGCGTAATTTTTCCCGATTTGATTACAGTTATCTTTATTTATTTTATTGCTTTTATTTAAGACATATTCCTTGAAGTGCATTTACCCAGGCAACTAAAAAAATTAATTAATTTAAAACTTTACAGAACAAGCCAAACTAATATCGAACCAGTAAAAAAACGAATAACAACAAATGCGACTGAAAAGAATTCAATTTGACAATCAATCATCAGAATTCGGTCCTGGTGCTATATATCGACGAAAAAGGAAATTATTGTGAAAATTCTGAATCGACTTACATATATTGTGTTCAATGCTAAATTAGTTTGTATGCAAATCTTAAATACTGATCACAATTAGAACAAAAAATCACCCAGAATTTTAGGAAATCACGTACTTAATTATTCAGAAAATATACTTCTAAGACATATGTTTTTGCTGCTGCTATTTTTTTATTCTTTTTTAAATTCTTACATAAAATATGTATAATTTGCAGGCTGTTTATTTGTATGTGTACACATTTGTACTTTTTAATAATATGTTCTCTTAATTAACAATATATTTGTGGAAAATAGAAAAGAATCCGTTCTAATTTTGCGAAATATTTGTTTATATATCTAAAATTTAAAAACAAGCAGATAATTTTTCTGCGTGCCAGGCCGATTTTCATTTTCGGTCGGTTTCTTTTCCGAGTGTATGTATTTATATCTAAAGCTGTGTAGCTACGAATGTAGCTATAAATATTAAGTAACTATTTTAACTATTTTGACCTACGACAAGTGCGTGCATGTGCTTATCGGCAGGCACTGTATACAACCTTGACAACATACAATGTGTTTGTATCTAGACTGACGCAGCTAAAGAAAACGCAATCGCATTTGACTACATAGATACAAATACTTACATACACATATGCATATATACGGTGCCAGTCAGCAAGAGCAGCAACAGTGGCAAGTTTGTGTCATCGTTGAAATTGAAAGGCGCTGAGATCTTAAGTGGTTTTCAAGAGCACCAGGGGACTGCGGATTAGGATGGAAGACGGGAGATAAAGGGATAATGGGCAAGCGAAAAGGGAAAGTGAAAAAATTAAATTGGTGTTACACCTTCAAGAGATGCCGCAACAATCAAGAAAATGAGACGAAACTAAGCAGAAAAGCAGGAAAAGCGTAATAAATAAAAATCATATAGACACAACAACAACAAGTATGTACAAATTGTTGGTTTTGATGTTGCTGCTACTACTGCTGCGGCAGTGTTGTTGTTGTTGTTGTTGTTGTTGGTGATGGTGCAGCGACCAGCGCCATATATACAAATACATAAATTCTTTGGCAATTTATTATTAGAAAAAAAGCAGACGCCGAAGTCGCCGACAACAAGAGAGCCAACAAGAGACATAGTGAAAGAGTATAGACGAAAGAGTGAAGATTGGGAAGTGAGGAGCACCCAGGGCCAGGTCGGGCATGCCTACTTTTTGTGTAGTTGTCATCAGCAACAAGAGCAACAAAGATGCGACACCAGCAAATTTGGAGACGGAGACAGAAGTTGTTGCCAAATTATTATTAACATTGTTGTTATTACTTTTATTATTTTAGAAAAAACAACTTGTATAATATGAATCGATTTGTATGTGAATACATGAAAACATATTCATATACAGAAATAAATACATATTTTAACTTTACCACGCAAATTCGATGTATAACTATGCCATTAACTCCGATATAGAGCCAGCAAAAAACGTATTTATTTGATTTAATTTGCATCTGATTCTTACAAAACAAATCGAATAAGTCGAAAAAAAAAAATACAACCAAACATAACATTCTAATGTCTTGATAAAAATCCAATGTGTACGTGGATAGATATTCTCATTGCTGAATTAGTGTTTAAAATTATATCAAAATAAATATTAAAGAAATAGGAGTTCGTATTAATTTTATGTGCTCGAAAACATCACTTGATATTTTTATTTACGATTACGACTCTTTTAGCTAAGCATATGTAGTATTTCTAACACCGAGAGCCAATAATTTAGTAACGAACTTATGGACTTTTGTTCTTAGTGTATAGCCATGCGTCGGACGCAAACACACATACACACACAGATACACATAGACATAGATACAGCGTTGCAGATACACTCGCCATATGCTGAAAGTTTACGTTGTGGCGTCTCTCGTAGCGACTGCTGCGACGTTGCTTAGTCAATATTTCATTTGGCACTTGAACCAAATACTTTTAGTTTGCTGCCACAGAACAGACGAAGGTTGGCTGCGAACACTGACGTCGGCAACAACAACGAACTAAAAAGGCGACAACGCCAACTTTAATCATGCCCCGCTACACACACACACACATATGTGTATGCATACATATTTTTCTATATAGTATAGTGTGTATAGTAATTGATTTGTGTTTATATATGGCTAATTTAGCTAGTTGCTGATTTGCTGCGGCAAACGTGGCGTATACGTAATTCTCTTAACAGAGCTTAACGCTGAAACTAAAATATCTAAAGCAATACTAATAAGCAATTTATTTAGACTGCGTTCAACATTGTTGCACTTATCATCAACTCTTTGATTTTATTATTTTTCACAATATTTTTGTTCTCTTACAATTATTTCAATTATATATAAAATTTACATGTTTTTTAAAGTATTTACGCAAGAGTGTGAGCAAATGGAATGGAATGCGAAGTCTATTAAAACATTAAGTCAAATATTAAGGCCGTTAATGACCTCGTACGTACATATATTTATAGTAATTGAGTTAACAACACATTTAAGACATTAAACACAAATATATGAAAAGAACTTAAAATCTATGTTCGGACATCTGTCCAAAATAAATCTTTAAACGGAATCTATATTGCGAATGAATATGATCAGCATAGGAAATTAAATGTTTATTCAATTATTTATTTAATGTGCATTAACTCTTTAAATTTTTTAAGCAATACAAAATTTAAAATTTAATTTAAAATTAATATTAATGTTTTCAAGGGAGGGAGTAAACTTAAAGTTTCTCAAATAAAAAGAAAAATATAAATGATATATAAAATAAATAAATAAATTATCAACTTATAAATCGAATAAATAATATATCCAAAATAGGTTAAATCGTATATGGTGTTTGTCGGAAAATATTCCGCATTCCATTTCGTATGGATAGAGTGATATCAGGTCATTTGCAATGTGCAACAGGCTCTTTTGGGTTCGATTGCGTTTTTTTTTTATGACCGAGAGCATTTTAAGTCCACCACAATTTCGGCGGTAAGTAAAATTAATTGAGGCTTCGTTGCACTGATGAGGGGAGAGAAGGATTACGTACTTTAACTCGGACACAGAAAGGATTTAAATAAACGACATAAATTTGCCCGACGACCTAACAATTGAAAACAGAGTGAATATGAATCGAAATGGGAGTGTGAATGGAAATGTAAATAAAAAGTGTGATGCACTGCTTGAATTCTGCTGGTTACTGTTACTGGCTCTGGCCTCTGGTAAACGCTCATTACAAAAATAAACAAAAATATGCAAACCGTTCAAAATAAAATTAAATTAAATATGAAAAAAAATTAATAATAAAAAATAAAGAAGTTTTCGTTACTGTGCATGAAAATGGAAAAATGTAATTTCCATAAGCCAAAAGGAGCACAAAATCAACGCACCGCTAGACGAGAGCAGCCAACTGGACAGTCGAGAAACGTCAGAAATGAGATGCGAGACGAGCGACGGCGGCTGAGAAAATTCAAAAGCTTTCACTTTTTTATTTTTTGGCCAACAAACATTTCATTTTTTATTTTTTCGCCATCTTGTTTGTCTGTTGGTTCTTTTCATATTATTTTTCTTTTGCATAATAATGAAATTAAATTGCTGCCTTATACACGCACACACACAGATACATATATGTGTTTCTACATATATACGCATTTTCAGACTATGTTTATATACCTAGCAAATCCGAAATGTATGTGCGTATTTTTATCTTTACCACTTTGCTTTGCAGTGCTTTTCATAACTGCCGCCATTGCAAAAGTTGGGCACAACAAACCAATGATGCGCTCCACAACAGCACAAGTCCCGATTGTAATTTCTTCATAAAAGAATCAAAATAAATCTCAGAAGCCCAAGAGCCAGACGATGGCCATCTCTCTATCAACCGCTAAAGGGCAAACTTTATGCTCTAAATGCAAAGGGCTACAAATATGGAATAAATGTGTCATATTTGTGAGAGGAATTAAATTATTGATCGATACACTTATTTATTAAAAATAAGAATTACAATTGATTGACGATTTTCCCAGTTCATGAGACATTTCCCACTCGGTGGTTTTATTTATATCTCTCGCGCCATTATAGCTTAATCCACTTTAAGCTATTTATAGATTACATCTCAATATTGATGGTCGTCATCAAGTTTTCCCACCCGTTTTCTCAACTAATTTTTCTTACACTTTGTTTGATAAACTTAAACTTAAGTTTTGTCGGTTGCACTTATATGACTATTTGTCTTGATGTCATCCAAGTTTTCATTTGATATGATTTCTTTATTAAAATGTGGCCAATGTAGGTCAAGAATTTACATAAATAGCGCCGAATATTTCAACCGCTGGCCAATTTTCGGGCCAAGCTGTTGAAAATATGAATGTAATCTGCAAAAAAAAATTGTTTTCTGAAGCGTGAAAAGTTCCGGTGGTCAGAAAATGCTTTAAAACTATAAGCAAATTGGCAAATACGAATATCGTATGAATGTATGTATACTTGGCTCAACAGTGCCTGCAAACACGTACATAGTGCTCGGCTTAACAAGAACAAACAGCTTGTATTAAACTTTATCGTCTGAACATTAATATAGCTGTGTTGTGAGTAAAGATATAAACACAAATTCCCTGGAAGTTTCAATGTGTATGTATGCAGCTTAAACGACGTATGTATGCATAATTATTATGATACACTAAATTATAAAATTCGTTGAACGTTGAAGTGAATTAAACAAAAAAAAAACGATTGCCTTGCCAATAATTAGGATATTAAAATGGATATTTGAGCCAGTTGCGTATGCCCTTTGTTACCCCATTTAAAGTGCAGGGTGTACAGGGCATCCATAAACTACATCCATACATAAATGTACATCTTACGTATGTATGTAAGACGAGGACTGCGAATAGTGCGTGTCAGCCTTGAGCTAAATTCGACAGACGAGACAACAAACAGCACGCAAAATTTTACACGTTCATAATGCAAACATTGGTCGCAAAGAAAATGCGGCAGACAATGCCAGATAAGAGAGAAAGAAAAGGGAAAATAAGAATGAAAAAAACACAGAAACCTTCCTCAAAGTTGCCGCCATCAATATGTTGTTGGTATTGTTTTTGCTTGTTCTTATTGGAATGAATTGCTGCGCCAAAAGCAGCAATAGCAACACACAAGGCATACAAATAATAACAATAATATACATATATATATACATACATACATATGGACATATGTAATAATTTTGTGTGTTGTGATGGGAAGTCAACAGGAAGAGGAGAAGAAGAAAAAGGAAGAATGTTAGTTAGGGCGAGGTGGAAGGAAGAAGCAACGCCAGCAGCAGCCCCAGCAGCAGCACCGAAAGCCGCCGAAGTTGATGGCATCTGTTTAATTTTTGCTGTTGTTTTTATTAATGAATTTTTATGCTCAGTGGGCGGCAGCGTTTTGCCCTTCCTCTTCTGCCTCGTATGCTATTGTTAAGCTTAATATTGTCGTTGTTGTTGTCGTTTTCTTCGCCTTTGGCTGCGTGTGCTTTTTACTTTTGGGCTATGGCTATGGCTAAGGCTATGTCTAAAAATATGTCTGCCAATTCGCTAAGTGGCTCAACTTATATACAGTTTGTGTGCATGTATGTGTGTACATATATGTATGTATATATATTTATATATATATATATATATATATTTAAATGTGCGTGTCTGTGCCTCAATATTCACATACAGTAGAACATGCTATATGCCGAATCAATAAAACACATGTACATAAATAAAATTGCAGCAAAATTTTAAGCATACTTGTTTAAAAAACACTAATTGGAATGCCGTTCAGTTAAGCTCATGGAGAATATCAAATTTGCCGGACTAAAAGCTATTTTTAAAAAAAATGGAAAGAGAAATTACAAAAAATCTGTTATTTGATAGCAGAAACAATTTGTTAAAAAATGTTAAAAGTGAAAAATGTGTTGAAAAAAAGATTAAGTTTAATAAAATGATTGGGATGATTGGAAAACTTAAAAACAAAACATAAATTTATAGAAAACAAAAAGATATTTGAGGCTTACATTAAAGTATTTTCAGAATAATAAATAAAATATTACTTCAAAAAATGGTTTAAATGACCCAAAATTTGTTTTAGATTTAAGGAAAAGACAGAGACTTTAAAAATAATATTGAAAATTCAGTTCAAGAAAAATACACATTTTATAAAAAAAAAGCAATAAAAAAAAAAAAAAAAATTAAAACAATATGTAGTAGCTTCAATTTTCATTTAGCTTTGTAGAAATAAGTGAAGTCATTTGAAGCTAAAAATATTCCTTAAGATGTTTAGATTTGGATCTATGCAAAAAATTGATGTATGTATAGTTATGTACAGGTATGCACCCACATATAATTACATTCGACCATTCACTTGAACTTGTCAGCGAGTGTTCACTGTTTTCGTAGCAATTGCCTTGCCTTCCTCTAGTTGCTGTTGTTGTTGTTGTTGCTATTGTTATTATTATTGCAGTGGAATTTGTTGAGGTTGTTTTAATTGGCATGGCCAACATGTGCGCTACTCGATATTTGATTTGAATTTTTTTTTGGCGCGCAATGCTCAGCACTCAGTTGCCGGTTAACGGCATTTCTTTCGCTCTCTTGCTCTCTTTATATTGCAGTCACAGGTCACACAACCAAAAAAAAAATACGCAAAATAAATAAGATATAATATATAGAGTATTTCTATTTTCTCCTTTTTTCGTGTTTTTTTATTATTTGTTGTTGTATTATTTGGCCGTTGGCGTTGGCGTCGCACTTTGTTGTTTCGGTCTCGCACACGCGACGATCTAAATATTCACAAAAATTCGACACGTTGCGCGCGTTGTGTGTGTTGCATGTCCGTGCACGTGGCAAGCCCGACGCTGACTAAAGCTGTGGCAGCATCTGCCCCACGACGGAGTGAAATGTTCCGCTTATGGCGTCCGCATCGCAGTGCCTCCGTCGACACAATGACTCAGTGGCGATAGCCGTAGCCATAGCCATAGCCATACCCATTGCCATTTGCCTTTGCCATTGCCCAGAGCTGTCGCCTGTCGAGCCACGAGCGCAGCATCGTTTGGATGGCACACGAGCAGCACACGAACTCAAAACCGAGCGATGCACGCGACGACTTTTGAGCGATTTTTTACTGTGTGCTTATAGATTTGGCTCAGCAGCGTACATGCTCATTACAGAAATTCCCCATATACGAGCTCTAAAGAGAAGCAGCGAGAGTGCGAGAGTGTGTTGTCTGAGTGTCTTGTGGTGAAATTGGAGAGCGCGCGAGTAATTTCTTTTCGAGTGAGTGTCTGTAACACATTTCGTTCAGATTTCTTACTCATTTCCGTTTGGCGCGCGTATGACTTACTTTCCTTCTTACAGCACACGGAAGTTGTTGCGACGACCAACACAGAGACTGACAGCGACAACGACGGCGACAGCGAAGATGATTGTATGATTAAGGTAGGGTATGGGGACGTCTGTGTGCAAGTCGAAGACGTTCCCAGGAACGCAGCTCGAACGTGATCAATTAATATGTGTGCAAACACAAGGCTCAATAGGCAACGGGCATAACTCGTGCGAACATTTCGCATTGGCTGGTAATATAACACCAAATGGAAAGTTCGTATTTGGACAAGAGGTGAATTGATGTCCTGTAACAAAATGAGTGATCAACAGGCTCAATTCGCATAAATTACTAGGAATATATAAATATTTTGCATGCGGAAACATGTGGCAAAAAATTAGTCACATTACTGTTGGGACAAGTGCTTCTTGTTGTTTGTGTTGCATAATTCCTGGGGCCTTCGCATAACATTGGAAAGTGCTCGAACCATTAAAGTCTTCAGTTGAACAGGAATTGGATAAAGGGCATCCTTTTCACTAGACCCTTCTTAGTTGATTCCACTCCTTTTGTTTTTTCTTTTTTTTTTTTAGCATTTTTTCAGGAAAACCAGTTGTATAAATTCTGTTTGGTATCTCGTTAAGAATGTCAACGGGAAGTAGGAAACAAACCTGTTCATACTTGACACATGGAATTGCTTTCGCTATTGCAGTCCACTTAATACTCTGGCATTTTTTATACCCTTTTAGGGGGTATCTTATACAGACACGCCTTCGATCCCTAAAATATATTTATTTTCGAACAGCCGAGTCGAAACCACGTCTGTTTGTCCGCCTCTGAACTAAAACATTAATGTCATTAATGTCAAATTAGGGGCTCAGCGCAGTAAAGAGAACCGTTCCTTGTTCATCGAGATGGGCTTACATGTCACTTAAAACTGATCATTTGATCGATTGTTCCTATCGCAGCTATGTGTAATAGTGGTTTGATTCGGTCAGAAATATGTATACCAAGGCGACGTCTTGTTTAATGCGTTGCAATTTGAAAACAACATGAAAACATTAAATATTCTATACAAGTCTCTAATGATAATAAGAGAAGAATTTAAATTGCACATCACTCAAGATTCGTTCCAATTAAGTATATGCAGCACAGAATCAAACTACTCTTTGTTAGCCTAAGATAGTAATAATAATAACAATAATAATAGCGACAAAAAGCACCGCACCAAGTGAACTACCTGCTACATTTGCATGATGAGTTAGGCTCGCACTTGGTGGCAAGGACATCAGCTAGGTCAGACCCTAGTAGAACAAGCCAAAGCTGCCAAGCAACGAACCAACTCAGCAACTGAATAAGACGCATTGTGAAAAGACAAAGACAAAAAAATAAAAAACAAGAGGGAACGTTGCATTCGGGCGTAAGCGACTGCGAAATACTTTGATACTATAAGTAATACCAGCTGACAAATGATAGCAAATAAAAAGTTAGGGGTAGCCAAGAAATACCATCCAAGTTTGTTTTTCAAATTATGGTAGATATAGGATAGTGGATGTAGTCGAAGAAAAATTATTGGAGGAGTTTCCTAGTAGGCTTCCTTACAAGTTTGGTAACTGTAGCGGAGTGGGCGTAGTCCAAAATTTCCGAATTTTTGAAGAGTGATTCCAGCAATATACCTTTCAAATTTGATGACTCTAGCATTCAAATTGTGGGAGATATATGGTCTTATCTGTTTTAGTGGCATGTGACAATCTTTGAAAGACATCGCCAACAATTTGCCAACCAATTTTGGAGACTGTAAAAAAAAAAAAAAAAAATTTTGGGATATATGTGGCTCATCGATTTGCGACTATCGATTTTATCGATTTCCTACCCCCCTAGTCGACGTAGCACTCCAATTCTAACACTTTGTCCGACGCAGGCACAGACCAGTATACGTTCTATGTTTCAAGAGTCTATCTCTAAGGGTGTTGAAAAATGTGGGTTCAGACGAACAGACGGACAGATGCACAGGTGGACTGACAGCATGACGGACATTGCACAAAACCAATACACTATGATACCATCGGTATCAAAGTATAAAAATGATTCAAGTAAAAATGCTCCTGTCAAGAGAGCTCGACTAGAAAATACTCTGAGTCCAAGTGCTTTTCTATCAAAGTCTTTTAAGTTAAGATATTTAAGCCAACATATATACGCATATCTGTTACATAATGATATATAAAATATTTTACGTTGTTCCAATATAAATAATACAAATACTCAATTAAAAAACAATTTCCTTAAAATTGTATTTTTTAATCATCGATAATCGATCTGAATCGACATCTCATGAGCGTTTGGTATACGAGAACTTCTGTCTCTGAGATCGACGTGTACATAGAGAAGGACAGACAAACAGGCGGTCATTGCTTGGATCGACTCGGCGTTTGATTCTGATCGGGAAATATATACTTAATTGAGATGCTTTCCCAGCCTCATTTTACCCCATTTCAATAGGTCTAGGGTACAAACAGTAATGTCAAGGAAAGAGTGAATGCATTTTGCTTTTCCCCACAGGCAACAACATCAGCAGCAGCCGTAGCAGCAGCCGTAGCAAACATCCGTAGCAGGAGCCGCAACGATGGCACGATTGTACTTTTGACAACAGCTTCAACCACAACAACAGTTGGTCAGAGGTTGTCACATCCAGCAGAACTACAAACACAACAACACAACAACAGCCTAACTGTTGCCAGGTTCAACAAGGATTGTGTTCTTGGGTCGTTTTCTCGCAGAGCACAAAATATGAGTTTCAATTATTTCCCCTCAAAACACTTTATTTGCTTCTTGTAATTAAATTTCAATATTTTGTTACTTTTAACACCACATGGCAGTTTTTGAGTTGTAGGCGTCTATTGGCTTTTCAGAATATTAACTTTAATTAATTAAAAGCAGCACCAAACAATTTTTGTTCTCTGACGGCGACAAATTTTAAGAAAAAATCATTTTAATTAATTAATAATTTCACTAAACAATTATTGTTCTCTTTGCAATTACGATTAAATTGCAGAAAAAAAGCCGTTTCATTTAATATTTCAAATTCGAATCAAACAATTAATTGAGAATGAGCAAATAAACACCAAGCTCATTCAATACCCAATCGAACGATTGATTTACCAATAATTCCAAAATATCAGTCTCTAATAAAATCTCTCTTTAACTTTAACTAAATAACTGCGTCTATTGCTACAGCTTGTTTATTGACATTGCATCCAGTAGTCTCCAGCTGTTTCTAGTTGTTGGCCCTGATTTTGGCCATTTTTTGTTTCTAATATCTAAAACAACTAACAACAGCAGCAACCAAAACAGCAATAGCAACAACAAGAATAACAAATTACGCTTTGTGCAAGGAAGCATATTGCGTTGCAGCTTCATTAAGTTTGTGCTTACTAACTTGACCACAATTACGCAAGACAGACACACACACAGCACATACGAGTGCACACAAGATTCACAACACACACAGCAAACACTCATCTAGTTAAAGGCTTGTGTTGTCAGTCTGCAGGATATGGGCAAAGCACTCTCCAAAATTATTAATTAATTGACAAGATCCTTTGGCACTTACTTTGCAATTTAAGCATATAAGTCATGTCGTGTTTGTACACACTCATTCACACTCACTTTAACAAACAAACACAATGTTGCAGCAGTTGTTATGTAATGCATTCAATTGGGTCTGACAAAGAACATTTACTTTACCTTACTACTTATTCTATTAATTACTCCAGTGCGAAGGCTACTCCCAAAAACCCCGTAGCATGAATGATAAGATAAGCAAATTCCATTGCTTTTTTTTAAATAATATTTTTATTGATGTTTTCCATTTATACTTTTTGGAAATATTTTATATTGTTAAAAAATTTATTCTGAAAACAGCCTTTCCAATAAGAAAATATAAACCAAAACAGATTTTTAGTTTGGGGCGATTTTCCAAATTTTACGAATATTTTTGCTACATGTGTGAAACTTTGAAATTTTAATTCAGTAATTCAGTAAAAAAATCATTCCATAAATATTGTAATTAAGCGTTATGCGTCATAATTTAGTTGGGCTTCGCATCACTCTAAATTTAACAACCGAGCAACTATTATTTACCCCGCTGTGCAACTGCTGAATTTTAATCACAATTCCAGTTCAAGTGACAGATATTCAGCAGTGTGCACATTTGAGCATACTCATTACTGTAAGGCTTTCAATGAAATGCTTATTACTACTTTCTATAATTTCCCATTTGAGTTGTTGGAGACAATTAAACATGATGTGTCGTCTATTATGATGACATTTGGTTGCAAATTTAACAAAATGCAATCAAAAATTTTGACAGCGACATCCAGATATGATTATGATTAACTAATGCAGCCGCCAGGCAAATACCCTGTCCACAGTTTTGATGCCGGAAGGCGAGTGACAACCTGCCCAGTTCTGTGGCAGGACACTAATGCATAATTGAAGTACCGGGCCAGTGCAATGCCCCCTGCATGAGAAAGTATATTATTGGGGCGAGGGTGTGTGTGGAGTGAACATGCATAACGGCTATTAAAACAACAATGACAGCAGCCACAACAAAATATAATTAAATTCGC